TCCTTCTTCTCTTCCCCTCCCAATAACTCTGCCAGCTCCTTCTTGGAGATCTTAATCTTCACCTTCCCATTGGCATCAGAAGAAGCTCTCAGCACACCTAAGAGCTTCTCCTTCTCCACGTTCCCCAAGCTCACCCCATGAACTTCATCAAACACCTTCCTTGAACTCATCATCCTTCTCTTACTTTGCTTAGACGACAAAGAACCCCAATCGTCACCACCCCAATCCATAGCCGACTCCGTGGCACAACAGTTTCCCATTTATATATATATATATAGGTAGATTATTATTTTGTTTATATATGTTGAAGATTGTGAAATGGAATGATGAGAGAGATTTATGAGGTGTGGAGGTTTTCATATTTATAGGGGTGATGTAAGAGAAGTGGGTGATTGGTAATTTGACTTTTTAATGAATTTAATTAGAATATTGGATTTATCGATACCCCATGTGGCAGATAGATCTGGCCAATTTCAATTTCATAGATGTGTATGGCTGAAGAGGTAAGCTTTGTTGACCAAATAAAATTTAATTATATGGTTTTGGCTATGTATACCGTGTAGGACCCATGATGAACTAAGGTTACTTGATTAGGTCCATGGGTGTGTGAAATGGGGGTTGAGGGAGCATCTTTGGGAGTGAGTGTGAACACACATATGCCATTGGAATCTTGGACTTGGGATAATTGGCTTGCTCTTTCTTCCATTTAATTTTAGCATCACGTGCGGGCTTAGTTAATTTAATCAATTGCGTAACCCTTTTTCCCTCATGATAATTAACAAAACTACTAAAACGGTAAAGAATCTTGTGCCGTCTACACACATTTTTTATTATTAATTAATTAATATTTATGACCACGATATGATAGTGGTAACATACGACAGTAAAATTAATGAAAATAATAATAATAATAATAATACCAACATTAATTGATACATGTGTGTCATTTAGTTAAGATGATATTGAAGATTCAAATTTTAGTATTTAAGAATTATGTTGAAACGGAGATATCAATCTTGTATGCACTAGAGAATATCATTGATAATAAGATGAGTTTATATATAAATTTCAATTCTATCCGCAAATTTTTTTAATTTTTTTTTTTTTATCGTAATCCAAGAGTTTTCATTGAAAATTTTCATTTTCTGCGTCTAAAAATTTCTTATGTGAAATACCTCTTTCTCTCTCTCTATTTATAACAATAAAATTTTATTCTTTTGTAACGTCTGATATTAATTTCAAAATGAAGGATAGAAAAGCATTAGAACTCATTCTTTGTTAATGGATTTTGGGCGAATTTTTTGTGGAATTTTCGAAGAAGACAGTACAATGATGTATTAAACTCTTGTTTTCGTTGATCACGTAAGTTTCTTTCGTAACCATAAGAATGTTCGGATGAAACCAAGAGAAGAAAATGCCATGCATTAGTTATTCCATAATGTAAAGCCCATAGGAATATAATAAGAGGACTCCATTATCTTCGCTAATGCTTGCACATGGGAAGGAAAGATATTTATATATGCGTATGCGTTGTTCATAAGAAATTAAGAGGGAAGAACAGCCACAAATATATGGTTCTCTAAGCTGGCTGGTGTAGCTATTGCCTATTGCTGTAGAGCATAATTGTCGGTTGGTAGTTGAGCGCATGCAATCTGTCTCAACGTATTCAACAGTATATTTGAAGTTGCTTAGAAAGCAGAAGAAATTAATATTCTTTATGTAGTTATCAATTTTTTTTTTTCTTAAAAGGGAAATAAAAAAAGAATGTTATCATCTATTGTTTATGAGAATTATAGGACCTACATATTGCCTTGTGATAGAGAGAGTAGGCACCGACTCAGTTTTATTCTCCCATGGCAATATGTTATGCTTCTCTGTACACCAGCACATAAATAAAATTTGCAGAGAAAGCCAATCTTTATCAAGTATAATTGCCGTAATGTCGGTCAAGTAATATTTGGGATACTTTTGTTTTTTTAAATAAAAGTTACTACTCCTTCCAGTCTTTTATATGATAAAATTATATATGTTAAAATATTTTTTTTTTATAATTTTTTTTATTTTTTATTTTAGTTTTTATAGTTTAAAATATTTTTTTTTAGTTTTTATATTTATTTTTTCAATTATTTTTATTTTTTATAGTTTAAAATAAATCTTTTAAGTCTCTATAAAATTGTAGTTTTTTTTTGTAACGTTGTCTCTTTCATATTTATGTGACAAATATATTAATTTAATTTTATGTGTGAATGTCAAATTTATTTTATTAGAGTTATTATAAATTAGGTATCTTTATGTTGTGTCTTTTCTATATTATCACCTACAACGGTCATTGTTAGGACTACTTATTTACTCTCACAAAATTATAGATTTCTATCATATTAACACAAAACAAACAACATTAACAAAAAAAAAATAATGATAAGGTCTAAAAGTATCATAAAACTAATGATCAATAGATGTCATTATTGAATATAGTTAGGAATTTGTTAAGCAATTTAGCTTTACCCATATATGTTTATATGTATGCCTTGAAAATTGTCATATATTTGTTAAATAAGGTTTCTAGTAAGGCAGTTTTAAAGACACATTTTGAACTGTAAACTAGTAAGACACCTAATTTAAGGCACCTACATGTTTGGGGTTGCCAAACAAAAATAAGGATTTAGAATCCCCCAAGAAAAGAAATTAGATGCAATAAATCAATGAATATTTAATTGATGATCCAAAAAAATCAAAAGGGTATGAGTTTTATTGTTCTAATCATAGTATGAGAATTGTTGAAACTGAAAATGCAAGGTTCATTGAAAATGGTGCAATAAGTGAAAGTGCAGTTCCACGAAAAGTAAAAGTCAAAGAAGTTAGAGTGTAAATTCCTTTACTTGTGCCTCTAGAGATAAAGTGTTCATCTAACTATTGTGCCAAATAATAATAAAGAAGAGCACAACAATCATGAACCCTTAATTTAGAATAAACCTACTATAGAAGAACCACAAGAAATAACATTAAGAAGATCTCAAAGAGAAAGAAGACTAGCTATTTCAAATGACTATATGGTATATTTACATGAGTCAAAAATTGACTTAAGCATTAATGACAATGATCCAGTTTCATTTTCACAAGTTATATGTTGTGATAATTCTGAGAAGTGGTTAAGTGCCACAAAAGAAGAATTAAAATCTATGGAATAGAATGATGTTTGGGACCTTATAGACTTGTCATAAGGTTGTAAGAGAGTTGATTGTAAGTGAGTTTTTAAGATTAAACGTGACTCTAAGAACAACCTTGAAAAATACAAGGTTAGACTTTTTGCTAAGAGTTTTACTTAAAAGAATAACATTGATTGCAAAGAGATTTTTTCACACCCATCTTATGAAAGGATTTTTTCATAATTATCATGACATTAGTAATCCATTATGACTTGGAGCTATATCATATGGATGTGAAAACTATCTTTGTAAATGGAGATTAATTAAGAGGAAAATGCTTACACGGACCGACCAATGGGGTTCTCGGATGAAGGAAAGGAACACATGGTGTGCAGACTAAAGAAATAAATATACAGACTTAAGTAAGTTTCCAGTTAATGATATTTGAAGTTTAAAGATATCATAGTTTTCTTTAGATTTAAGGAAAATACTGTTGATCGGTGTATATATCTAAAGGCCAGTGGGGGTAAAGTTATTTTTCTAATTTTGTATGTTGATGATATCTTGCTTGTAACTATGTGATAGAAATAAATATTTTGAGATAGATCACATGGACTATTAGGCTTGTCTCACAAAACATATATCAATGAAATATTAAAGAGATTCAGGATGAAAAAGTGTTCAACATAACTCGTTCCAATTCAAAAAAATAAAAATAAAAAACAAGTTTAGTTTCGTTCAGTGTCCTAAAAATGACTTGGAACGAAAACAAATGGAAGTAAATTCATATACACATTAGTTTTTGGGAGTATATATTATGTATGCTCAAATATGTACTTGACCAAATATAAGCTTTGCGATTGAAATGTTAAGAAGATATATATCAAAGTAACCCGAGAATGAAACATTGAAAAACTATAAAGAAAGTTCTGAGATACTTACAAAAAATAAAGAGTCATATGCTTACATATAGGAGGTCTAATCACCTTGAGGTGACTGTATATTTAGACTTGTACTTTGTTGGATGTGTGGATTTAAGAAAATTCACTCTTAACTATGTATTTCTTTTAGCCGGAGGAGCAATGTTGTGGAAGAATGCAAAATAATAAGTTGTTGCTTCATCAACCGTAGAAACTGAATTTATAGCATGTTTTGAGGTTACAATATTCAGGCTAATTGGCTACAAAACTTTATTTCAAGGCTTGAAATTATCAATAGTATTATTACCAAGTTGTTAAAAATGTATTATGATAATTCTGCAACAATATTTGATAAATAATCTAATTAGGGTGCTAATTATAAGCATATGAAATTAAAGTACATTGTTGTGAAGGGAGAAGTTCAAAAACAAAGAATGTCAATAGAATATATTAGCATAAATTTTATGGTAATGAACCCTTTAACAAAGAGATTATTGCCCAAAACATTTATTGAGCAAGATGGAAATATAAACATTATTATTAGTAGTGACTGTTGAGTATTATGCTTATTTTGTATTAAATGATTGACACTTTGAACTCATTAATTATATGTTTCTGATTACTTATTCTCTATGGTTACTTATTCTCTATGTATGTTTCTGAAATATATAAACATTATCTTGAACAAAAACATTATATTGAACCAAGTATATGCTCCTTATCAATGGTTATATTAAGAAAACTAGTTTGTAGTACATGAAAAAAACTATGTCAATTAAAATTATATACAATCACCATGAATCAAATTAATTTCTATTCTTAATCATGAAATTATGATGAATCCAATATATATATAAAATGATTTAGTCATTTTAATACACATTATATTAGTTATATTAGTGTAGCTAATTAATTTATTTATCTATTATAAAAATGAATCAAATAATATTTTAATATTTATTAGACCATTATTTTTTCACTTTGTTTAAGATATCAAAAATCTCAAAACTGACCTTACTATATATATATTAATTAGAATAGGCTTTGATAATATCTTATCATACTAACTCGACTCTAACATAAATTTATGAAGTAGAAATTGATATCGCTTATGTAGTCTATTTTAATCACATCGGTTGTCATATGAATCTACAAAACAGCTCTTTCTCAAAAGTCCGTATATATATATTAGTTGCTGCCGTCAAAATTCAATCATGTTATAGTGGGAGTAATGGCTAGATAAGCTTCCGCTATTACTCAATATTATAAGTTATT